GCAATTCATAAAAGGAGAATAGTGATTATAGTGCACTAATACCGACAAATATTTCGAATAAGAAATGACTATATATATATATTTACGACGTTCTGTGAGTTATTTGTGCTGTTTTTTCAATTTTCTGTTGTCTTAAACAATTCTATTTATAACTAAAATACAAAAGTGCATGTACTTGATATGGCTTTTATGCTACGTTTCAAGGCAATTCGCTTACAATTTTAGCAATTTTCTCGACGACTATCAGCTCAATTGCCTGCAGTCGAGTTGATTAATGTCCTACACGCCAATAAATACCCCATGCATCAATGCACGAACATTTATAAACGATTGCTTCCTTAATTGGTAAGTCCATTCATTCTAATACTCTTCATGTGGGGTTTTGGACGTCATTGTCAGTTAAATTCAAAGCAATTTTCAGATGTCACTGAGATATTTAAATATTTTGTCAGCTATCACTTGAAGATACGTTATTGGTTGTCAGTTAAAATATATAACAGATATATAATATCACAGTGTAAAATATCAATATATAAAGTATAGTTACTGTAGTTAACCTCAGGCTCGTTCATACTCAGATGATATAATGTAATAAATTAAATAATATATAATATAGTATAATTTATCTAATATATTATGACTTTATTAAGCAATTGCAGGAAATTCCAGTGAATTTAATCGACACGCCTTCGTTTACTGAGCAAACAACATTGCATGACTATAATCTATATCGTGTCATCGTGTAAGTCCCACCCTTTCACATCTGCCTGACGTACTTAAAATGAAATCTTTTTGTTTCACACATCAGTTAAAACTGGCTGAATGAGGTTGCGCGGGTGAACCTGCATGTCTGATCATGTCTGTTCAAAATTATAGAAAATTACATTAAACTGCGGATTAATTAAAAAATTATGGCCATGATATCAAAATCATGAATAGATGGAGAAGCTACAGTTTGGAGGATATCTTTGTGCGCGCCAAGGTAAAATGTTAATATTATCTGGTTAAAATATATCTGTTAAGAAATGTATGATTTTGTTTTCTCATGCCATATGGGCTATAGAGAGTGGAGATCTTTAAGAAACCTTTTTAATCTTGGGTCCCTATATGTAGGTACATTATCAAGTAAAATCTAAAATAATATACATTATTGACAATATGGCACATCTACATCAATTTTAAAATCATTAAATAGTAAAAAATTAATGCTGTCATATTTCGACAGAGGAAGAGCTAACTATAAGACTTAGCTATATAAGCCTTACTCCTAAGCTAGTTATATTAAAGAAATTTATTACAGAAGCATCGTAAAGTTATTTATAATTTTTTTCGATTTTGTTTTATAAATGCATGAATAAGTACAGATATTTGATCTATAGGGGACAATCATATGTTGCTATAATGCCATCAACAATTATTTATATCGAGTGAGATGCCCCCAAATCCTGATATTCTATTTATTCCATTGATTCTATAAGATTGCCATGCACAACAAAGTAACATAAATTACTGCTAAAACATCAAACAAGGACTGTGGTCAACAAGGACTGCGTCACTGGGTCCTCAACAAAACAAAAAACTTATCAGACGTTGATGGAAATTGCCCAACCTTATCATATGTGTTTATTGATAGGTCCAAGGCAGGTAGTGGTAGCGGTTAGGTTAGGTTATTTCGAGCACGCTCAAAAATCTTTGACTAGCTTCCTCAATTCTTCACGATCATCCATGATGTTCTTCAGTTCCTCAGTGGTCAATTCAGTGTATTTCCTTAGCTGGTCTACATAAGTAAGTGCTGGTCTTCCCTGGTTCCTTGGTCCCTGCTTCGGTTCTCAAAGAAGCATTTGACTTACTATTTCCTCCTTTCTCCTCCACAAGTGCATTTCAGCCACCTTTCCTGCAGTACTGAAGTTATGCTACTGAGTTCGCCGTACAGCTCTTTGTTTGTTTTGCGATCCTTCCAGGTAAAGGCAAGGACCGCTCGTAGCCGATTCGGATATATGTTCTATCTAGTCTGTTGTTCATGGCATGTAGTGGAAGTCAAATCTGAATCTCTGTATTATCTTACTCAAGTACTCAAGGATTCTTTGTGGTGTACATTTACTAGAAGAATACCACTTATTAGGGTCAACTTTTGTTGTATTAGTATTACGTGTGGAAACCCGTATTTCTAAAGGCAAACTAGATCTAAATATTCCTGAACACGCAATCAGTGCCCGTGCAAATTTGAGTACGATCATGCATGTAATCTGACTTATAGCTACACTAAAATAAAACTATACCAAGTAACGTTTTTCTATTACAGTAAACATGAGTCGCAGTCTAGGATTCCAACAGAGGATCAAAATTTGAACTGAGTTAGTGTTGTCGAAACTTGTCGAATCTATCATGAACATAGTTTGTCAGTCAAACCGTCAAATGCTGATCTATTTTCACGCGAAGAACCTCGTTGCAGATGTGCACGGTTTTCCGTATTTGATATTTCCACTGGCCAATCATTAGTCGCGCAAACCGATCATGCATGCATACATGCTCAACTGAACAAGGGTGAGAGTTATTAAGTTCTTGCTCGCGTTTGATCGCCAAATCTCATTGACTCTCGTCAACTCTCAGTCAACTTTGAACTGGTTCAAATTTTGATGAGAGTTGACGAGAATTTCAGAAAATGCCAGCCAATATTATTGTCGTTTCGCATTAAGAATACCGCTAGTAATTGTAGCCCAGGGCGTTTAGTATATAAAATTGGGAAACAATATGGAGAAGATGGTAAATTTTTTTTTTCGGTTGCAAAGGAAAACCTTTCAAGTGAAGACGGAAATACAAAACCCCTTTGGGAGACCCTCGCTGGTGGAGAACCAGATGGAAAATTATCTATTAATTGCATGGCTTTGGTTAGATATGCATGCACGATAGCAACTTACTTCTGGCAAACTAAAAAGTGTCACAGCTCTTAAATAATAGCTAATAGCCACATGTCATGGAAAATACAACCGATAGAGATACCTGCGGAGCAGCCAAGGAGGCTAACATTAATCATTGCCAACAAGCAATTCAAACGTTACACACGTTTTGATGTTTGCAATTTCAACGTATTTTAAATAATAGTCCCTTTTCTCGGTCGGGTTGCCTACAGCTTTCTCTTTTTCATTGAAGTCAGCTGCCAGCTGAAGAGAAAGCTGTACAGCAGCTGTTTGTCAGCCCTAGTTGATCTGTTGATAGCAGATTGTTTACGCAGAGGAAGAAAAGTATTGGGCCTAAAATTGAACCCTGTGGCACTCCTGACAATACAGACTTCTCAGAGGAGGTGGCATCTAGCACAGTCGGAACTAACAAAGTAAGTTACTTATATATGCTCAAGTTGATCATAACAACATATGAGTACATACGAATACTTTCATCAAATTAATTATACTGAAACAACATATGGGTACATATGAACATACAGTGACAGTAATCAGAAAAAAAATTATGAGGGGCTAACAAACGGACTCGAAGTCCCAACAAGGTTAATTAAACCCTTCTCAAAAATAACAATACAACTTTAAAGTTAAAGTTAAAGAAATGAGCAAAAATAGAAAAAAAAGAGGAAATGTACGAGTCCCCAAACGGCGAGGAACACATGCAGCATTAACGGAACAAGGTTGAACAGATTGACTCAACCGCAAAGTAATTATACAGTTCCTTACCAGAGATTCTGAAACAGTTGTTAAGCTTATTGATCAGGGTTTCGTGATTTACCTTATCAAAGGCTGTGGGCATGGCCCTATAGATAACGTCCGTTTGTTTGCCAGCATCCACCAGGCAAACAATGCCAAACATCCAATCTTGGCAAGCATCCAATCTTGGCAAGCATCCAATCTTGCAACAATTCTAATCTTGGGTTGTACAAGATTTTCAGTTGTATCTCACTCAATCCACAGCTGTCTTCTTTATCAATTGCAGCTCGTTTTGTAACTTTATTCAATTTCCATGCAGATAGAAGTTTTCAAACATGTAAAGTTTCTCAGATCTCGAACGCCAGTTAAATCAGCGCGACTGTATCGTAATACAGTGCCAAAAATGTTAAAGTATTTACCATTTGTGCAAACGAACATTAGCGTTGAGATGTAATTCAATAGAGGAAAAGGTATAGTTGCGTGATAAAACGTTTAGACAAGCCAATATTATTTATACAAAACATTATGATAAAATGATTATCTTAATCTTATAGTCTATATGTTTTTCATTAATGATTAATTATTAAACATAACACATCAATGAAAATGTGTATTGTCGTACATAGTGAAAACCTACACACAAGTAAGCTCTTCACCAAGACTCGTGCAATTTTTCAATCATTCATTAGTTCTTCTAAGATTATACTCACTCGTATACCGACAGTATATATAATATATATACATGTATATATATATATATATATAGGATGAAAAACTCTCGAGTAGCAGAAAATTCTACCTGCCGCGGCTAGCAATTCGAACCCGCGATCTTCGAAATGCTACCCTGGTTCCAGAGGTTTAAAATAAACCTCTGGTTGAAAGCGGCAATTGATTGTATTCATGATTGTATTAAAGCTCTCCGATTGGTTATATATGTTTTATTTGAATCAATCAGAGAGCTTTAATACAATCATCCAATCAGGAGACAGAGTCAGGGTCTGACCCTAATTCAAACTGATTGGCGCGGCTCGATGAATCAATTGCCGCTTTCAACCAGAGGTTTATTTTTTCTCTCCCCTTCGCAATGAAAATAATAAAAATAAACCTCTGGAACCAGGGTATCGAAATGCTACAATCCAGGCCAAAATTTAGGTGGACACTTAATCCACTTTTGAAAAATTTCTAACAAACAACTAAAAATTGACCCAACTCCCACTCTTCACTGTTGCATATCCGAATTATCTACACTTCTTATTTGCTAAAAAATTCCATTCAACATTGACTTGCATGGGGAAGCGGGGGATATTTATTTACGACTTGGGGGAGCGGGTAATATTTATTTACAGGGACCTACCAACCGGGTGGACACGGGGGGACATGTGCCTCCAATATTTTCAAAGGACCAAAAGTGTCCCTTTTCGTACAGTCTAATGGTATTACTATATTACTGCAAATACTATATTAACATCGAAGATTCGAAGGTGCCCTTTTTGTTTCCTGAACATTTATGTATTCCTTTTAATTAAGCTAGTTATGTTGTAAATTATCATGTAAGTAAATCCAATGAAAGAAATTTATAGGAAATTTCGATGTTTTATAATAAAATGGTCAAAAACGTTGATCGGTATGTTACGATTCCAAATTTTGGCAAATGTATTATATTAAATTTTAGGTGCCCTTTCATTATCCAATAGGGCCCATCGAAGCCGATGCCCTCCCCCAATCTTTTGATGCCTCCTACGTCCCGTTTATGTAGAAAAGCCATTCCGACGCCAATGTCAGTGGGTTGTCCAGAACGTTTCTGCCAGGATTGTAGCTCGACGCTATTCCAACTAAACTACACGTACGGTCAGGGCCGATAGAAAACTGGAAATTATGAACTGATACTTAGGCGAAACTTTTTTATTCATTGGTTTACGGATGCGCCGACCGTAAATTTTCAGAAAGTGAAAAATAAAATTTGGACGTCAACGCGGGGTTCTGACATGAATTACACGCCAAGTAAACTTTGACTCTCTAAGTACTGCTGCCTCATGTTATCGTTGTGACAATCTTGAAAAACAATGGCTTTTTTAAAATATTTTTCCGACCTACCGACGTGTTTTTTTTAAGTCAAATCCGTAAACCAACAAATAAAAAATGTCTCGCCTTAAGCTCCCTAACAGCTCCCTATTCTTGACGTTACATGACGTTCCTGCTTTTTCGTGCCCAGTCCCCGGCCGAGTTATATTGGGGAAACGATACTGAATCCATGTCAGTTGGCCGGATGCCAAGGTTTTTCGGAAATTGTCGTCAGCTCAAACATTCGACGACTCTTTGTTTTTATTCGATTTTGATTCGATTTTATTTATTTTGTATTGCGCTCGCATGATTTTTCTGCATGATTCTTCTTGCCGCCTGGAATTTCCAAGGGGGGATAGGTTAGGGTTAGGGTTCCCTCTTGGAAATTCCAGGCGGTCAGCAGGCTATGTTTCGTGAATCGTGATCGACAATTGCTCTTTGGGATTATTATTGCAAAGACCTGAGATCTGAGACTTATAACGGGACTCATAAAATTCATGGTTCAAGTTAAAGATTGGTAGTTGTTCTCCTCATTTCTAGTTTTGTTCAACTCAGTATACGTAGAATCATCGTCATTACTTGCAACATTGACTATCAATGATTGATAATTATCTTCTGTGTTCATTTTTGTAAGATCTAGCTCTTGATAAGTTGCATCGACTTCAGTTGCTTTTGGTTCAGGGTTTGATTGAGGGTTTCCACTTCTAAATTTACGAAGACAGCATGAGACAATGTAGGAAAGAAGAATTCCAATGATAATTCCAGACACCACTGACACCACAACGATATACCATTCAGTCCCACTATGATTCGAATTTTCCAAAGTTGCTTTTCCTAAAAGGCAGAATTACAGCTACGGTTAAAAATATTGGCTTACCAATTTTATTAACGACATATTTTGTACTAGGTAATATAGTAATATAATAGTAATAGTATTTATTAAAAGTCAATACATAGGGAGTGATACTCAATCTCGGCTCGAGCCATAGGCTCATGTTGAATTAAAATGCTCGACTATATTTACTCTATGCGTGACTACATCAGTACAAATTTAAAACAAAGTACTGATGAGAAACCTATTTACATAATTAGGACTAATGGAGAAACTACTTTAGTATAAAATGTTTAAGAATTAGATACATCTCATACACCTACAGCCGAGGTGTCTCAACATAAAACAAAATTATTCTTTCTGAACTATGTTAAAAAAACTTTGATTATATAATGTTACGGAATCCTTTGTAGTTGGAGAATTCGTTGTTCGTGTTGCTGAAAATGAATACCATTGTTAAGAGACTGTTTTATTTGCCTAGTTATACAAGCTTGATGAACTGTATCACTGATTTACTACGTAATGCAATCATAGAAAAAATTGGCGTATTAATTACTTTCGATATACAAACTGAAGATCTTTGAACTATTTCCAAGCATATTTGTTGCAATACATTTATATGACCCAGCGTGACTGTATTCCAGAACATGAATAATATATGTCTTGTGAGTGCTGACGACCTCAGTGTCGTTATGGATTATGGTATAACTTGGTAACGGCACAGCTATAGCCTCGCACGTTATCACAACTGATTTACCAAATATGGCATTTTCTGGAGTGGACGTAAGACAAATCACTCTAGGCGGAACTGCGTCTGTAAAGAAATAACTTTTGATTGGCTACATTATATTTTTTAAAAAGAATTTCGCATGCAGCCATGCACTGATGATCGAAGTTCGCGGCAGCATAGTCCCAGGCTCTCTCTCTATTCGCTGCTTTGATATATTTAAATAAGTCTTAAACGTTTTATGCCTGGGTGTGCTGTGCGGAACGCTTCAGCTAGAGGGCCTAGCAGATTTCGGTAAAATGGTTCGTGATTTCAAAAAAGTGGTCTCTGGCCTGGTTACCAAGCAAACCACATTTGTAAATAGAACATGTTATGGAAATTTCCTTTGCGTTTATAATTATTTTTATCTAATGCTGTCGGAACAATGAAATAGGCTACGTTTCGCTACCATACGGTCAGAATGGAATAACGGGCTAAATATGACTCGTGTTTACTAAAATATAAAGCCATATTAAATGCTATCTAGAAGCTTGAAAATTATGCCGAGTCTCCGACTAAAAATGTTTTGACATCACAGTCATGTCAGGCAAATATTTCCAATCTCCTCAGCTATTTAAACCTGTCAAGTAGAAAGCGTAGTTGTGTATACCAGTATGGTCTAGTGTTGATCACAACTTGCGAGTATATAAATATCATCAACAATACGACCATTGGCATTGCGCATGCTCAGACTCAGTATCGTAAATTCGTATATAAATTTTTTTAATTGAGCATATTTTTAATACAGTTTGAATTTGGTTATGTAGACATCGAACATGATCAACGAACATTGTCGTATTTACAAGGTTATTTGTATATATAAATTTTCCGCCATATTAAAAATACTGAAATCTGCTAGGCGTTCTGAAGCACTTTAGCGGTGACGTCACACCTAGTTCCCAGTCTCGTACTACATCCACGTGTTTTTCTCGCGCTTGCTTCAGAACGACTGTGACTAGGCTGGGTCCACGGGCTAACTTAGTTACATGCCTTTATTCTAAGTCTTAAACAGCCAAATATGCTTTTCGGCGAATATTCGTGCGTGGCGCGAGCCTTCAGTAGTGGTATAGATATAGTTAAGCTTTGTTCTAGCATTATAAATTGCATATTCTTAATAAGTTCTTTGAATGTTTGCATGGCGATAAAATATAATTGTTTTTGTTTGTGGAAACACCACGTAAATTTATTACTGCAAAGCTTTCGACCCGTAAGCCCGGATCTTCATCAGTGCTAATAATATGCATGGGCGTACCGGAAGGAAAAAATTAGGGGGGCGGAAAGAAAATTGCCCGACTGTTCAGAAATGTGCCCGACTAGTACCGAAAAATTTTTTCCGGAAAAATTATTTTGGTGACCTCCCCCCCCAACTCCCCCCCCCGTCACCAAAAAAAATTTCGGTCAGTGCACCATTTTAGGGGTCAAAAAAATTTTCCTGACATACCATATTTTTTCCAAATAACACTAAATGTACCACAAAATTTACGGAATTTTCGACAAAATTGACAGAATTTGTCCATTCTTTTGCCCGACTGTTCATCGAATATTGCCCGACTGCCCAAAAAACTGGGGGGGGGCTACCGCCCCCCCCCCGCCCCCCCGCCCGGTACGCCTATGATAATATGTAGCACTGATGAAGATCCATATAATATTCTGATGAAGATCTGCATATTATTAGCACTGATGAAGATCCGGGCTTACGGATCGAAAGCTTTGCAGTAATAAATTTACGTGGTGTTTCCACAAACAAAAACAATTGCATATTCTTAATTGCCATTAGAAAAATATTCTAACAAAAATTTGGAAACTTAACCGGTGCTAATGAAATAAATGTCCTGTGTTGCTAATTGTTCTAGCAAATTGATCACGCAATGCAATTCGGCTACTTACAATAGACAATTATTTCGATTGATTTTTCATCCGTTAGAGAGTGGCTTTTGGCTACACATTTGTATGTCCCACTGGCTGTTTGATCAATGTTACTGAAAGTTAATCTTTGTTCTTCTTTTCCTATTTGACCAATTTTGTTGCTACCTTTATACCATGTGACGTCTGCAGGAGGGTTTCCACCTTCACCTCTACATACACATGTGACATCATCACCTTCACTTACTATGATGGGACTGGAACAATTGACTCTCACAGTTGGTTTCCCTAAAATGTTACGAAACGACATAGGAGATTATTTAGAGAGTAGTTTTGTAGGGCGAGAGTGTAGTTCAATATAATTAACAGTTATTCTACGAACTCGAGTAGAATATGAGCTGATAGCCGATGAGGCGCGTAGCGCCGAATCGGCTATCGCTCATATTCGACGAGAGTGAGTGGAATAACTGTTTTATTATATACACAAGGTCTGAATTCACAGACTTTGCTTTTCGAATATTTTCAATATTTTTCTATTTTGTTTATGTCTTTATCTTCGCTCTTTCGGCCGATTATTTTTTCAAAAATATATATTTTTAACCATTTTAAATATTAAAAATTTATTTGTTAACCTGAAAACAATTTGTGGGAGTTTTTTCATTGTGTTTTTAATCCTGTGAAGGCTATAAAAAGCGACAACTTGCCGTTTTCTCGTTTGCAAAACATCGTATAAATTCAGTTTGGCCGCCATTTTGTTTTTCTCTACTAGCAGGATATGAGCTAATATCCTGTTAGTAGAGAACCAATCAGATTGCAGAATACCTCATATCCAGACCTTGTGTATATAATAAATATATATATAATATAGCCATTCACCGTATATGAGCTGTTCTGCAATCTGATTGGTTGAATTACTCGCCGTATATCAGCTCATATACGGCGGGTAGCGAAAAACAAGATGGCGGTCCAAAAACTACATGAGTTTTGCGAAGCAGAAAAAAGGAAAATAATCGCTTTGAAAAAGATAATAGTACAAGGAAAAACTCTCAAAAAAATTTGACAGGTTAGCAAAATACATTTATTACGTAGAAATTAGTTTAAATACAAGTTTTTTAAAGAATTAATACCGAAACAACAGCGAAAAAAACATGTTCATTGAGAATATAAATTGTTCAGAAAAGTTTGCAATGAACGACAAATGAATTTGCAGTCAACAAGCACTTACTATAGTACCAAACATCTGTATAATATATCTGAGCTTTCCTGTGAGATATAGAGGTTCTAAAACCATTTCTTTCACTTCGTCTTCGAGTTGTAAAACAAAAATATTTCAAATTTTCAAGCGGTGTTTGGCCGAAAAAATTGTCAACACATTGTAACAGTGAATAATTAATTACTGCTTCAGTTAATGGCTATATTAGACTATATTATAAAACAATTATACCATTCGCTCTCGTCGTATATGGCTGATAGCCGACTCGGTGCTACGCACCTCGTCGGCTATCAGCTCATATACGACTCAAGCTCATGGTATAATTGTTAATTATATATATATATATATATATATATATATATATATATATATATATATATATATATATATATATATATATATATATATATATATATATATATATATATATATATATATATATATATCTGGAGTGAGAACTCGAGTCCAAAAAGCGAAGTCAAGATGGCGGAAATTTGAAGAGAGCTATTGGACGTCAGTTCTAGTTCCCTTCTATTGTTTTTGTTTGCGCGTGTTTGCCGAAATTTCGTATATATATCCAGGTGATCTCGTGTTCGTATTTTAGCCAATCAGCGCTCAGAAAGGGTTGTCCGAATAGAAATCCGTTTTGATGAATTCAGTCAATTATATCTTTCGTTATTCTTTATGAAACCAGTTGAAATTTTGTAAATAAGTTTGGTTATGAGAACTATAGCTCTGACAAAAATATGGAATCGAAATAAAGTATATTACAGGAGATATTCAGTTGTTTTAATCATAAAATGGATTTCTATTTGACAACTAGTGCCAGTACTTTTCCGCGTATCAAGATCATCTGGTTGTAATCATGACGATATTTGTAATATGAAAAGACAGACTAGCTCGTTTTGTTCTCTATCAATGGTTGCTAGACGCAATGAATGTTGTTGAATGCTTTTGTACATGGAAATTTCTTTCCACTGCCAATTTTATACATTTTTAGACTTAACCAGGGGCAGTTCCCCAATTAACCAAAATTTTGAACTCAACAAGTCTAGACAAAAATTTCACCACAGCTTGAAAGAGCATCACAAAATTAGTAATATTCCACATAATATTTCGTTGCAAAATGTTGTAAAATGCGGATAATATATAGCCTTGCGAAGTTTGCAATTTTCAGTCATTTAATGTAGATTACAAACGGGAAATGGTTACCAGTTCTGTGCGTAATACAAAATGACTGAAAATTACAAACTTCGCAAGGCTATATTATATTATCCGCATTTTACAACATTTTGCAACGAAACTTTGGAATATTACTAATTTTGTGATACTCTTCCAAGCTGTGATGAAATTTTTGTTTAGGCTAGTTAAAATC